TCCCTAACCATCAGGGCTATTAGTACTTGAGTGTCTCCAGAATGTAATTGTATGAGTTACAGGCAACTATTGGGTAATATCTGTTTCATCAGTAATTATCAGTGTCATATCTACTTCCTGTATCACTCTAGGTAGTGACCAAACACCAGTGTTAATAGAGGAGGAGCATCCCTTTGGAGTACATGTTAGTCTGAAGGTGAAGTCTGAGGAAGCTTTCTTCCTTTTCTGTTTTACACTCACACACACCAGCTTTGAGATTCAGGTGGGTAGCCGTGTTCGTCTGGAGCAGCAGAACAAAGTTTGAGTCCAGTGGCACCTTTAAGGACAATGAAGTTTTGAGACAAGGCAGTAGCAACTCTTGTTCTTTACAGACTGCTCCCCATTCATTCAGCCTTCTAATAAACACAAGGGTGTATGTGGTAAAAGAACCGGGTAGCTTGGCTATTCTCCTTTTTGCAAAGATGCCTTTCTTGTTTATGCATAGACTGTAAAATTTACTATAGACTTTATACTTTAAGTTAAACTAGGGAAAAGGCCCGTTGTGGAAAGAAATACAACGGCCTCTAGAAAGAGGCTGTGGGCGGGTGCCCCGGCCTTGGACACTCAGTGTCAATTTGCTGTGGCGACCTCAGCAGGGTATAATGACACTAAGTCCACCATTTTCTCCAGAGGAACTGATCTCTGCTACCTAAAGAACAGTTGTAATTTTGAGTGATCTCCAGCCATCACCTGGAGATTGGCAACGATATTTCCCCAGAAGGGAATAGTTGGTTTGGAGGGTGGAGTCTATGGCTTTGTACCTGTCCGAGGTCCCACGCCTCCTGAAACCTCACTAGGCTCCATCCCTCACATCTCCAGGAATTTCACACCTGGAGTTGGCAACCCTATCGCCTTCCCAGCCAATCATCAACCTACCTTTCTCCCTCACTCTTCAGCTTTCCATCCCCCACACACCTGCAGCCTCTCCCATGCTCTGAAACCCTGACTGCTATGTCACATTGGACACAGAGCCCACCATTTTCTCCAGAGGAACTGATCTCTGCCATCTGGAAAGCAGTTGGAATTCTGAGTGATTTCCAGCCCTCACCTGGAGATTGGACACATTTTACCTCAGAACAGCAAAACTGTTTAGAATGTTAGAAGCAAAAGCCAATCAAGTCGCATATGCAAACAACCTCTGTGTTTCGAGGCAGAGGCCAATGACGCTGCATATGCAAATAACCTCTCTGTTCTGACTGGCCATGGGGGGAGAGGGACTGCAAAATGTTTAGAAAGTTGGAGGCAGGACTCAGGCAAAGCAGCCAATGGATAGGGAGACCCTCTGAATGACAGATCAGAGAGCGAACTGATTTTGGAGCGTGTGGAATGTTCTAGAGAAGTGCCACCACCATTCGGCCTTTATTTATAAGGGAGATTAAGCCTAAAGTGAATAGGACACAGTTGGAAATGGTAGTCTGAATAAATTAAAACATTTGTAATCCATGGTTGTATAAATGATGATGGCAAATTATGTAACATATCTACTTGTGCAATATGAGGCTGGTACAACTTACAGAGATCTATTTGAGTTATCCTGGTCCTACAGTTGTCTTTCAACATTAGACAAGGGTTCTCCTTTACAGAGCAGTCTCTTGTATTTTTTGATCACTTGAAATTATAGTTGCCATTATATCTGTCACTTGTGTTGTGGTGGTAAGTTTTCCTCTATTACCAGGCTGATGGTGAGAATATGGGAGCTGGCTATCTTTGTAACATTTCCAGAATTGATCTTATGAGCACAGCTTGGATTCTTCCTGTGCTTGCTCAAGGATTCATCCCTTTAGAAGCTATTGTGAGTTAGCAGTATCATTGTAACTGTATCTTTTCCCATATATTTGCATTCAGAGAATCACTTTAAAAGTTCATCTTGTAGTAGCAGAAGGGCATGAAAAATGAGCCAATCTTTCCTTCATCTTTCAGTTTCTATGAATTTGTACTATGGTTATGACTACCAGTTTTTTAAAAAATGTTCAAAGGACTTCTCACACAGAATTTCAGCAGTGCTAAAAACAGTTATGTGAGGCAGACATTTTCCCATCCCCATATTACAAATCAGGAATCTGAGACTGATTAAGTATGGTTTGTTTTAATGCCCTCTAGTGATTCATAAATTTAAACTTCCAACTCATAACTACTGTCCTGTGCCAGCTCAGTGATGTTGTGGGTCAGTGGTATAAACCAAAGAGCTCTAACCATATTGAGCCTTTGGGCACTTTTGGAATTTTGGAAGAGGCTAATGGATGCTACTAAAAATAACTGCAGTGGGCATTAGGATCAATCACAAAATAGATGCTATGGGAGGCAATCACAGAATACTGGGATATTCTAAACTAAGTGTCATCCTATCCTGGGAACAGCTATTTCTGAATTAGTGCTTCAGAGCTATACATTGATGCTTTTTAGGTTTTACGAATGAAGCCCTTTCTGCTTCAGTGAGGTGGAAGAAAGCCCGGGTATGCTCTTTGCTTTGAACAAGAAGTGGACACCAGGAAGCACGTTAGTGAGATTTATGTTGCCCATGAGCACCACATCTGGGGTCAGTGGCCTATAGGGTTGTGTTATGAATGGGTAAATAAGAGTTGTAATTCCAGTCTTGGCAAATGCATACTAGTACTGGGATGTCTAAAATATCCATAGTATGTTTAAAATATTGCATCTCTTCTGTGGTGGAGTTAAATATGTTATTCTTTATTTTAACAGGACAGATGGCAGCTTTGTGGTTCATGATATCCCTTCTGGATCCTATGTAGTTGAAGTTATATCTCCAGCATATAAATTTGAACCAGTACGAGTGGACATCACATCAAAAGGCAAAATGAGGTCTGTTGAAACAAACTGATTTTCTGTGTAGGGTGAAGGTGGGAAGAAACAAGCTGATCATTCTGTGTCAATAAGTTCTTCATAAACATTTGGTTTTCATCAGGAATTTTTATGTCATGCGATATGTTCCATCTAGTTTAGGAAGAATTATTTTAAGTGTACATGCCCACACATAGGTTGACATAACCGCAAGATTTAAGCCAGGGAATTGCTACTAAATCAATACTTTGTTTTGTTGATTGAGAACATTCTGTTCTCTGCAGTTCCTTTATTCAGACTTCTCTGTTCCATACTTACTCACTACCTGAAACTTTGAAACACTGTAGCCAGCCAACTTCTTACATGGCTGTAAAAAATGCAACTTTGCTTGGGCAGCAAGTATCTATTATATATTATTGGCCTCAATAATGATTTTTCTGTTCTGAAAGTGTTTGTATTTGAAATGCAAAATTTAAATTTCGTTATAGTTCAGAGTGACATCCTGTTAAAAAATGATAGAAATATTTTTTGCAAATAAAAATTAAGTGGTGGGGATATAGTACATTAAATGTTCTTAGTTAATATATCTGACAACAAAACTAATGCCTCCTGTGAGACTGAATGGAAAGTTACTTTAAGAAAAAAAATGAAATGTGAGATTATGTTGTTCAGGTAAAGAACAAAGCTGTGTTACTATTCATTTTATCACAAATTCACAGATGAAATGAAGAGTAGATTGATTTTTATCTTCTGTTTAAACAGTTTCACGTAAAAGCCTACTGACTTGGTTAAATTTCTTTGTTGATGGAATGTAGAATGGTTTTCAACCACTAACACAGAGACTGATCCAGCTGACTTTTTTGCACATTCTCTTCCAATTTCCCTCCTTATTCCAGCTCCCATTCTACATGGTTTTTGTCCATGCAGGTCCCATTATCCCCCCAGCATTTTGGTTGTTAAAGAGTTTCCTCCTCCATTGTTCACCAGTGGAAAAGCTGGTTGGATTCAATCCATAATGTGTAATTTAGTTATTGCTGTATTTGGGAGTATTTTCTATGACTCTCAGGTTCTTGATTCTGTAGTATTGGCCATATCTGTACTTTAATATTTATAATGGACTAGTGTCAATTTGATATATTTATAATATATACCAGAGTTAGATTGCCTTGCATGTATTTATTTAGTGCATTTTCCGCTCCCTTCCATTTTTTCCTATGGCTTCAAAATTCCCAGGCATTCTCATCTCTAGTCACTATATTACAGTAATAGTTGTGGACATGGTACAATTCTCCAAGACAAATCTGAAAGGGAAGCACAAAACTATAAGTCACGCTTAGGCCTCTAGGGAAAAGGACTGTACAAAAAAACTCAGGGTGTGTGAACTTAGGGTACAACACTAATACAGAAGCCACCAAATAAGAGTATGACTATGCCTGTAGTCCAGTGTAGTGTAATGGTTAGAGTATTGGAGTAGGATCTGGGAGACCCAGGTTTAAATCCCCATTGTGCCACAGAAGCTTGCTGGGTGACCTGGGGCCACTTGCATACTCTCGGCCTAATCTGCCTCACAGGGTTTATTACTTATTCAATTTGTACCCCACTCTCCCTGCAAGCGGGCTTAGGGCGGCTTGCAGTAGTGGCACCAGTTGCCAATAAAACCATATCAAACAGTTTTTATATACAAATAAAACCATAAAATCATAAGGTGCTATTAGTTAGCCTTACAGTGGCATGCTACAGATGTCTCCAACAGCTGAGTTCCAGCTCAGTGTCATCCCAAGTCACTCGATAGAATGAGCCAGATGTTAGAGCTGAGGGCCGGGCTCGTTGATGGTAATAGTGGGGGCGGCTCCTAGCTGAAGAGCTCCGTCTTGCAGGCCCTGCAGAACTGTAAAAGATCCCACAGGGCCCTGATCTCTTCTGGGAGCTTGTTCCACCAGTAAGGAGCCACCACTGAAAAGGCCTTGGCCCTTGTCGCAGCAAGCCTGGCATCCTTGGGGCACGGGAGGGTCAACCGATTCTGTGACCCTGACCGCAGTGCTCTCTGGGGTATATGTGGGGAAAGGCGGTCCCTCCGGTATGTCGAACCCTGGCCATATAGGGCTTTAAAGGTGAGCACTAGCACCTTGAAGCGGATTCGGTATGCTATTGGCAGCCAGTGCAAGGCCTTCAGCACAGGCTGGATGTGCTCCCATCTAGGTATGCCCATCAGCAGCCTGGCCATGGCATTCTGCACTAGCTGAAGCTTCCAAATTTGCGACAAGGGCAGCCCCATGTAGAGAGCCTTACAGTAGTCCAGTCTCAAGGTGACCATCTCATGGATCACTGTGGCCAGGTTGTTGCGGTTGAGGAAGGAAACCAACTGCCTAATCAGCTGAAGATGGTAAAAGGCCGATTTAGCAGTAGCTGCTACTTCAGCTTCCATTGTTAAGGAAGAATCCAGGAGCACTCCCAAACTCCTAACCTCCGGCACTGGCACGAATGGCACCCCACTGAAGGTCAGGAGTGGGATCCCCACCCGTGCACTGTCCCGGCCCACACACAGGACCTCCGTCTTCGCCGGATTCAATTTCAGCTGATTCAGCCTGAGCCAACCAGCCACGGCCTGTAACACCTGGTCCGAATCTTCAGGACTGGAGTTCGACCAGCCGCCCAAATCAGATAGAGCTGGGTGTCATCAGCGCACTGGTGACATCCCAGCCCATGACTTCGGGCTATCTGGGCAAGGGGGCGCATATAGATGTTAAATAACATCGGGGAGAGCACTGCCCCTTGAGGCACTCCGCACTCCAGCGGGTGTCTCCTGGACTGCTGCTCTCCAAGTGCCACCCTTTGTCCCCAACCTTGGAGAAAGGAAGCAAGCCGTTGCAAGGCAAGCCCCTGAATTCCCATGTCGGTGAGGCGGTGAAGCAGCAACTGATGATCAACCATGTTGAACACAGCCGACAGGTTCAACAACAGCAGTACTGCCAAACCACCCCGATCCAGATGCCTCCGGAGATTGTCAGTCAGGGTGACCAGTGCCGTCTCCATCCTGTGTCCTGGGCGAAAGCTGGACTGGATGGGATCTAACATGGAAGTGTCATCCATAAAGCTCTGTAACTGTATCGCCACCACCCTCTCAGTTAATTTGCCCAAATAGGGCAAATTGGAAACTGGCCGGTAATTAGCCAATTCGGCCGGGTCCAGAGAGATGGTTTTTTTAGGAGTGGGCGGACCATCGCCTCCTTGAGTGCCCCTTGAGTGTTGTAAGGATAACATGAAGGAGAGGAGAATTATGTAAGTTGTCTTGGATCCCCATTGAGGAGAAAGGTGGAGTATAAATGAAGTAAATAAAAATAGTCCACACATTTAAGGTGCTTAAATCCTTTTGAAATCAAATTTGTGGTAGCTTAAGTACAAAATGCACTCAGTAGGAATATGAAGCCAGGATGACTTGTTACAATTTGCTGATGAAACTGTGTAAAAAAATATTTTTAAATCTTCTGCAGAGCAAGATATGTGAATTACATCAAAACATCAGAAGTCGTCAGGCTGCCATACCCACTTCAGATGAAATCTTCTGGACCCCCTTCTTACTTTATAAAGAGAGAGTCTTGGGGATGGACTGATTTCTTAATGAATCCCATGGTATGTATGGAAGCACACATGCAGGCACTTATTTGTCACTAATTAGGTGTTCATTCTCAACATTTCAAAAGTTGTTTTGTAGGAATTTAAGAAAATTAAACAGGCACATACTAATTATGTCCTTTCAAGTGGGAAGTAATGCAGTAAGTAGATATCATTAAACAGCTTGTTTTCAGGCAAGTATTATCTCTGGGATGTACAGGAGGCATCTCTAGAGATAGTGAAATGGTTACATCATCTTAACATGAATTTTTTTCCATACAGGCAGTTAGGAGAAGACGGAATAATTATGAAGCAATGCAGCCTTTAAAAGGCTTCCTCTCTGCCAGTTGTAATTTCTCATGTTTCTATAAAAAGAGTAACCATTACACTAGTACTGAACACAGCATTTTGAAATGTGAATTACAAATATGTATTAAAGTCATAAATATGTATGTACCAAAATTCCTAGCATGCCCCATCCATACATTTGGCATGGGGGAAGGAGAGGCAGAGATGGATATGGTTGGGTATGCATGTATTTTGTGTATTTGAACATAAAACCTGAGGTTGTTGCTTTTCAAAATCATAGCTGCTATCCATGTGGCAGAACACCAGTTAATTTGACTTGAAGCTAGCCTGGAAACAACTGCATCAGTTGTGAGGTTCATCATTTAAAAAATGCTGATGCTGTGTTGTTGCAGTTACTTGCTGTAAGTATAGATCTCGTTGGTATTACCCTTGTTGAGCCATGCAGATTTTAGCTGCAGAAAGCTTGTTAAAACAAGCTGGGTCCTCTGCTGACAGGAATAATCAGGCCATACATTAAGAATGGTAGGCTATTGATTGCCCTTGGTAATTAAGCTTGAAGTGCTTTTATATGGCTAATACTCAGCATCTATATTTCATAGTTTATTCTGGCTGTTAGATTATGGTATCCTTTGACACTAGTAGTCATGACGGTTATGGAAATTGGTGAGCATTCACAACATTGCTTGTGAGTGGTTTCATTTGTTCTATAAAAGGTAATATTAAAGTAATATATAATTCACTGTGAATTCCTATGTTTTGTTGTCTTAATGTGCAGCATGCATAAGACCTGCTAGGTGAAAATGGTCTGAACTCTCATATATCCCATGTTATGTAATCTTATTTATTTAGAGACTTTATACCCTGCCTTACTGCCCTAATTGGGACAACCAAGGCAGCTAACAAAATAAAAACATACATAACATGTCTTAGAAACCATTAAAATCAAACAAAACCAAAAATGCACATATAAGAACAGCAATTAAAACACATGGCAGGAATCAGGAATCACTGAGCTAAGTCCAGATGAGGTTTGGTGACATGGCAGAGAAGGACCTCTCCCATGTTGTGACCCACTTAATTTCAGATGGTGGAGGCACCTGAAGCAGAGCCTTGAAAGATGGCCATAGTGGTAGGGCTGATTACTAAAGTAGTCACTGGTCCTTATGGTATGCTGGTTCCAAGCCATGTACAGCTTTAAAGGTCAACAACCCCACATAGAACACATTGCAGTATGCAGTAATTTAATCTAGATGTAGCCGGTGTATGCCACACAGTGGCTGGATCTTTTCTGCCCAGGAAAGGCTGCAGCTGGCTAGCCAGTTGAAGCTGGTAAAAGGCACTTCTGGCCACAACTGCCACCTGCATATCCAGCAGGAAGCCATGGTCCAAGAGCACTCCCATACTGTGGACCTGTCCTTCAAGGAGAGTGGAACGCTGTCCAGAATGAGTGACACCTTAAGTCCCAGGTCAGACCTTCCACTCAGCAATAGCCCTTTCATCTTGTTGGGATTAAGCTTCAGTTTATTAGCCTGCATTCACTTAGTGCTCACCCAGGAGACTGAACACTGTCAGACTGTCAGTAGATAATGCTGAACAAAGCCAAAGTAATGATGGGCCTTATACCTTGGTTAGCTTAAATATACCCATCAGTAAAGCTGTGAATGTTCAAACAGTTGAGCGCTCCTAGATTCATTCCTGTACTTTGAATGTTACTGGTATTTGTCTCAGAGGCTTATATAGTTATATTTGCTGTCAAACCATGTAATGCTTGCTAGAAAGTTACAGTTTTACAAATTAGTTGCTGTATGATGTCATTATTGGTTTAGTTACTACCAGTTTTTCTGTTGGCACAAGATGGAGGCAGGCCAATCTCACCCAATTCCCTCCACACTGCATTCCCATTTCACATGGGTCTCACAGTCCTCCTTCTTACACCAGAAGGAAAGCTGGTAGCATTCAGTCTATTTTGTATTGTCTGTTCCCTCGTTTTCCAGCGTAAAATTGCCTCCCAGATCAGTTTACAGAAGCTTAAATACAATATAAAACAAATGTTCTCAGAGAAACAGTTCTTAGTAAGGTCCCAGATGGAAGGATGCCTGACTGCTTCCTCTTCTTACACCAGTGACTTGTATGTGAGCTGCTCTTAGAACTAACTGCAGTAGTTCTGAAGCTTTAGAAAGTCACAGTTAATGCACTGAAATAAGCTTCATCCATATCTGTTATTTAAGTCCTGACCCCCCGCCCAAACAAAGATGTGTCTGAGATAAATTAACATTCTATTAATATCTACTGTTTAAGGTTATGATGATGATCCTTCCATTGCTGATCTTTGTATTGCTGCCTAAAGTTGTCAACACAAGTGATCCTGATATGCGGCGGGTGAGTAAGGTTTTCATAGTTGATATTGGAAATATTATCTCTGAATGACAAAAATAGAAAAAAGTAACCAAAGCCATCTGTAATGCAGGCCAGAAAGAGTCTGCTAAACCATGATGAGTTAGTGGCTGCTGAGGTAGAAATACAACTGTGAGTCAGAAAGGCGCTTGGTGAGGCACAGCAGTACCAAGCCGGCTACAGGAAATTTAGATTTTGAAGAGATGCTTAGTGGAATAAATTTATTCGGAGTGTATATTGTTGTGTAACTTATTCAGAACATGGTGCTTCATCTTTAGCTGTAGAGACACTTGGAGAATGTTCTGCTGAAAGCACAGGAAAGGCCAGCATGAAAGGGATACAGGAAATGATAAATATATTAAGGGCAGGAGGACACAGACCAGGCATGATAGGACAGAATTATTGTGCCTCAGGATAGTCTCCTTCCCTTTAACAAGACCTTCAGCAGCTCTCTGTTCCCATCAATTAAAGGGATTGTGATCCACTGTAAACTTTACAGTCCCATCTATGCAGAAATCATGTGGGAGCATGCCCATCAGCCCCTTTGTCCTGTTATTGAAAAGATAATAGGGAGCTGTACTTGGAAGGCCTTCATGAATTTAGGTTTCCATCTGGATGCTTGAAATACAGAGGCAAACATAAGGCACTCTGCTTCTGCCAGATTTATTGGGATGACTGTCTGCTAATTGAGAAAAACAGCTGCCTAAGAATTCTGTGCTGATAGCAAGAACAGCCTGATATGGTTGGTCTGGTGAGAAATGTTCATTCAGAAGAGCCACTAAGTAGAGAGCTTGTCTTTGTGTTGAGTGGTGCTTTGATCATTGGGCAAAGTCTGTGTGTGTGTATAAATGTGTCATTAGTTATAATGTTTCATGAACATCTTGTATCATAGAAAAACAGTCTGCTACTGATGTTCTGTGAATATCTGTTGAGATGTAACATAAGGATTGTTCTGCCTTACTGCTTTTTTATCCTCTCCATCTTCAATAAAACATCCTAGCCACATTCTGCTGTAACAGATCCACTGTAACATGAAATTAAATTATGATACTTACTATACTATCCTAACTTATTGTCCTTTCACCATGCGTTATGCCGAATAGCGGAAGGCTAGAACAAAATGGAGATTCAAGGTGTTTACTAAATCTTCTCTATTTAGCAGTGTAACTGTCTGTCTTTGGCTGCTGCTTTTGGGGGTTCAGTTGGTATTGATTTCCCTTTCCTCTGAATAACCACTGTCTTTAGTAGTTGTCTACGGGTGTCCAGGTTATTTTCAAGTTGCACCTATTGCAGTGTAAATCCTGAGACATTTAAAGCTTCTTTAACTAAACTCTAACTAACTCAATAAAAGGTAAAAAGTTATAGCTTCCTTAGGAGACACTGAATTGGTCATGTGGTCACCCATTTGGTCATATGAAATTAACACATGAGCTGTTCTCTTTTGGCTAGCAAAACAGTTGTCCATTAGAAAGCTCCAAGTTGAAAGAGTCTTGACTGCACATCTCTGTGACATAAAACACAATCAGAAGTTCAGATCACTCACATAAAGGTTAAGACTATTTTAAGACAGTTGCCAGGTATTATTTAAATGCGAGAAAATAGTTGGAAGGAAATGATTCTGTAAAAATGCTTATTCTTGAAAAAGGTGTGTTAGGAAAACTGTGTCAAACTGGTATTTTTTAAGAAGTTCAGAAACTTCTGTTTTTTAAATAGAAGAGGAGCAGCTTTTGTTTTTAAAATTGGAAGGTACTTAAACAGTAAGTGGGCTTTTAGAAGTGTAATGCTTCAGGTAGTATGCATTTGCCTTGTACAGCTACTCTAGACATGGTTATCTTGCTTACTGCTTTAGATTATTCTTTTCATCTTTATATTACTATTTTTTTATTTTTAAGTTGTCGTTTGGGCTGTGGCTGTCTAAAGGAGTCTGTAGTATGGTAGAGACCAGCTGCAAAATGACAACCATTGAAAGTACAATGAAACTATTGGATGTGTCTTTATATATGATTTGAAAATGGCAATTTAACTTATATTCCTCTTCTTTTTTGTGTGTGTATACATTTAGGAAATGGAGCAATCAATGAATATGCTGAATTCTAACCATGAGCTGCCTGATGTATCAGAGTTCATGACAAGACTTTTCTCTTCAAAATCTTCTAGCAAGTCTAGTGGTAGTAGCAGTAAAGCAGGGAAAAGTGGGGCAGGAAAAAGGAGGTAGTTGTTTCCTTCCCTCTACCCAGAACCACAATTTGCACAGCTCTGTTATGTGGTACCATCTGTACATTCTGTGGAAGAACAAAAAGCCACTACTGTAACCTTAATCCAATGTCAAATTGGACATAAAACAACTATTGTGTGTGGTGTAGCTTTTTAACCTATTTATGTATCTTGTTCTTTAAATATGCGAGGGTGTAGCTACAGTTCTGTATCACTGTATGGTCAGTGCTGATAATGAATGAACTCCTTTATAGAGAATGACATTAAAAAGTTTAAATTATGATGTGCAATATATTAATGGTTCTTAACAAAGCATCACTGTAAAATATTTGGCATCAAGACATAGACTATATTCTTTGTTTTTAAATAAGCTTAACGGTATATGGATTTTCTTTTATATAGTGTCTAAATATACAACGTTTTCTTTTAAATGTACATGACTTGGGTTTAGTAAGAAAGAAACTCTGTCTGTCAGTTTGGGGTGTATTGCAGACGGCAGTATGTGTGTAGGCTGTTATGCCTGTACTGGGGCAATTTATATAGAGCAGAGGGGGAGTTTTCTTTCTGTTAAGGCTTCTTTAGCGAAGGCATATCTCCTTGGTGGTTCCTTCCAAGTGCCTCCATTCAACCCAAACACAATTTGCGTTAAAAACCCCCACTTGTTTCATATATACAGATCTATGCTGATAACTCCTTTACTGCAAGACATTTTTAGCTGTTTTCACCTATTAACAGGCTGGAGCTCTTACTAGTGCAAGACTAGTCAGTATCCTGTGTGTTCTCAACAGAAACTTGGGTTCATAGTGATTTTATCAATAAGAACGCTCTCAAATTCTGAAGGCACCCTGCAGTTCCATCATTCACAGATCAGGCCTTTAGCAAGCATGCACCAATTAATAGACAGCAGAATCACAAATGGAGACCAGATTTGTTTAGCTGCCAACTAAAATAACAGGATAGGAGAGCCAGGCCTGTATCAGTTGAACTGGGAAGGAATATTAAGGCTGCTACAGTGGGGCAATCTTTCCAAAATTTGTACACTTTCTTGAAGTTTTAGGCGTTCTATATTTTGTCTATTTGCTTTCATTGTGGGAGGAAGATACATGGGACTTTGTTGGTGTAATGCTGTCGCCCTAGCTGAATGGTTGCGGTTGTTTCTTTTGAAGGATAGGGTACCTTAAAACTAATCTTGATTAGTGTCTTTGACATTTGTATTGCACTTGGAAAGGCCACTCAGAAGATCTTGATGAATGGAGATGATGCGGCAGGTCAAGACTGTGTAACAAAAGCTGTTGAATTCTGCTTGGAAGTCAATGCAAACTTTTGAGCATTGTGCTAATGTGCTTCCAAAAGCTGCCCTGTTAGTGGTGGTTTAATTCTACTCTTTATTTCCAGGTATGGAAAAATGCCTGTGATATAATTTCAGTTTTACCTGAAATAAATTTCTCTCTGCTTGCTTACACCTCATTGCCAGAGGTTGCCATATGCTGTATGAAGCTGATGGATCAGGATGTAATAAAGGCACAGCCAGCATCCCTAGAACACTTGTGCCATTTCATTCCAAAGTGAAGGTATAAGGCCAGTTTAACCGAGATGACAATCATACATCCCCTGGAGCAAATGTTTCTGACAAATCTCTGGTACAAACTGTCCTGTAGTTCTCTTACAAGTCCCAGACGTAAGTAACTAAAACTGCTTTATACCTTTTCTGTATGCAAACCTAGATCAGTGCCAGGATCACATGTAGATCTTCACGGTATGCTAAGGCTGTGGAAGTCTGTGGCAACAGAGATGTCATTGACATGGATGATGGCTTGATCCTAGGTGTGAGCCTTTCTGACGAAAATTCCAGGCGAGTCCCATGGCCTGATTCCCAAAGGGTCTAAATCTTCTATTCAAGGCCTACAGCAGTTGGATCTAAACTATATTATTATTAAAGAATTAACAACGAAATGCAAATTATGAGATTATGGATGGATGACATTAAATCTCTGGTTTTATGTTGCTCAGAATGCTTTTAAAGGAGTCTGTAAGGACCACACAATTAGTGTGTGTGTGTGTCTACAACAAGAAAGGGTGGGATTAATCAATTAATCCCATTAACCCCAATTAATTGAACAATTGCTGGTGAGTTCTTATAAGAAACTAAAATGGGGGGGAAAGCTTAATAGCGTGGATAAATTTGAGCCTTTAGTTTCAGAAAACAGAGTTCTGATTTACATATATCAATGATATTTTTACTATGGAGGTCAGTTGAGAAACACAGAATAATATGCCCTTAAGCATAATCATTGAGAAAATTAGACAAAAAGCACAGCATGGAACTGCCCCTGGTATTGCTACTTTGCTGTCACCTAGTGTGCCTGCTTTGCTTCAACAGAACCTGTGGGGAGCAGTTACAGAAGGGATACGTGTGTATTCTGCAGTCTCATACAGCACCAAGTGAAATGGTGAACTGGATTTGAGCTTTAATAGCTTGGCTGCATGAATTACACAGTATCAGGCATGCAAATTATGCATATAAAGTACTTTAATTCTTGCAACCAAACAAAAATTCTGATTTTTACACAAATTCTTGGAACTGACACACAGGCTGACTGGGCTTTTTTTTAAATGGTTAGCTGAGATTTGTACTGTGATGGATAAAATAGAACATATTATCATAGATCTCAAAAATGCCCTGAAGGGATAGCAGAAGGTACCCCCCCCCCAAAAAAAAAACCAGTAGGAACCTGCCCCATGTACTTCTGGCCAGAGCACTCAGTTACGTGCTATATAGTGAATTGTGCCTTATACAGGGAAAGATAGCACAATAGTTGTAGTCCCAGAGCCAAGAAAATGGCAGTAGTATATCATCCAATGATTACTCTGAATTACACTTTGAAAATCATCACTGCACTGTCTCAGTAATCCATTTAACAATTTTCTCACAGTGGTTCATCCTGTGTCATTGTACTAAGGCCACAGTCTCCTACACTTGGGAGTAAGCCCTACTGAACCTAGTAAGTAAAGGCAAAGGTTTCCCTTGCTCGAAAGCAAGTCACTCTAGGGTGTGGTGCTCATCTCTGCTTCCAAGCCGAAGAGCCAGCGCTGTCTGAAGATGTTTCCGTGGTCATGTGGCCGGCACGACTAAATGCCTTGGTGCACAGAACGCTGTTACCTTCCCACCGAAGCGGTACCTGTTTATCTACTTGCAATTTCTTGCTTTCGAACTGCTAAGTTGGCAGGAGCGGGGCCAGAGACCAGAGCTCACTCCGTCATGTGGCATTCAGATCTTGAACTGCCAAACTACAGACCTTCCAATCTGCAGCTCAGAATCTTAACCTCTGAGCCACCACGGCCCCACTGAACCTAGTAGCATTTACCAAAGTTAAAGGTTTATACATTTGGTTTGTAAAGCTAGAAAATTTCTGATAACATTAGGGTAGTAGTTGTCTTTCGTGGCTGGTCTGGGAAGGTCTTCCTGCCGTATTATTGGCAACCATTGCTTGAGAAGGCCTTGACTGGAGTTACAATCCCTGTGAAATTTTGAATGCTGAGGAGTTTTCTCTCTGTGAGTGTGTTGCAACTCTCTTACATTCCTTTGCAGGATGTTCATACAATGTTGGGAGTAAAAATCCCTCCCTACATAGCTGGTATTAATTAAATAGACAGGAGATTGAAATACCAAGTGCCTTGGCTTGTGCTTGTACCTGTACAGAAATAAAATAAGGATTTAGAAACGAAGATTTGTTAGTCCCAATTATATCTGTCTGATTTCGCCCCCATTCTTCAGCCTTTCCTAAATTCCAACCCCCTTTTTACTTTGTATGTGCAGCTATTTTGTATTTTTACTGATGATTGAAATCTGGTTGTAATGGCTTGTTTTGTTTTTTAAATTAAAAATTAATGAGCTCATAAGAATGTAACTTACCCTATTCCCATATCATAGTTCATACTTTCAAATGACATTTTGTCAATGAACACTTCAGAGATTTTGGAAGCATTCAGTAAAATGATACTTTTCTAAGCTGGTGTGTAGGTTATCATCATCAATGGCATAGTTTGTGTTCAGAACACAAGCATGACATAGCAATAGGCTGGATCCACAAAGCACACACACACCCCGGCAGCCTCTTGAGTTTAAGAACATAAGAAAAGCCGTGCTGGACCAGACCAGTGGTCCATCTAGTCCAGCATCCTGTCTCACACGGCAGCCAAAAAGTTCTTCTGGGTGGCCAACAGCAGTGCATGGAGGCTAAGACCTTCCCCTGGGATTCAGAGGTTTAGAGGTTCCCCTTAGTTAATGGCTAGTAGCCACTGATAGACTTACTTCATTGTATTACTCCATGAATCTATCTAATCCCCCTTTAAAGCTGTTTATTCATATGGCCATCACTATGTCCTCTAGCAGCAAATTTCACATTTTAATCACTCTCTGTGATGGCAGGTATTTCCTTCTTAACCACACAGTGCCATCCTGAGAGCACTTTCCTGAAGGTAAGCTGCTTTGAATTGACTTGAGCAGGAGTCGGGGTATGATACTTCTTAGGATTGCTGACTTAAGTCTGTGAACCATCAACAGGGCTGAGGCAATTACCACAGCAATACAAATGTACATTATGAGCATAATGTTTCAACACAAGGCTCTTGCTGGTTGATATATAGGCCAAAACGCCTCATTAGAGAGATTGACACTGTGCCAGAATTAGGAGCTTCATCTTTGGAGATTGAGTTTGTAGGCATGGCTTGAATATAAGTCCAGTCTTGAGAAAGGATTCTCAAAAAGGTTGTATAGCTGGTACATCTTCAACTGCTTTTTTTGTATTTCGGACTATAAATATATCAACCAGCAAGAGCCTTGTGTTGATATTTTGTTTGGAAGCAGAAGGAGTCAGACAGCCGAAATGAGAGTGTTTACCTTTAAGAACGGCCTGGCAGAGAAACGGCATTTTATCTCCAGTGTTAAGTGAATGACCATAAATTCAGCCTCAGCATCAATTCATTGTAAAATAGCTAGATAAAGCAAGGGTGAAGAATTCCCCACCAAATCAGCTCCTTGTCTCACTCTTACAGCTCCTATTAGTTTTGGCTCTACCATGTACTTTGGCTTACGAAACCTCATCTATATAGGCCCAGTTTAAGTGTGGAGTAGTGAAGGCTCTGGATAACTGGTGTCCTGGGAGATGAGTGTTGCAGCACTGAAGGTCTAGATGCAGAATCCAGAGTCTGAAGCGTCTCGATTTGCCATGTTTCCCAGCAGAGGCCCCCATACACTTTTAATTGATTTCCACAAAGGAGGAAACAGCAGCGGCTGAGAATATCAGGAGGAAGGACACCGTTCTTTTGACTTTCCATTAATCTTTTATGTGCCTCCTGGAGAGAAACGACCTATTGATTTTTATTACAGTATTACTGTTTAGAGCAAGACCTGAGATTTTATATATGATTCTTTTAATGATGAATTTCACTGGGCGCAATCTGTTTCTGTGCAGGTTTTGCGCTTGGAGTGTTGGCAGGGAGAGGGTGTTGGCCCTGTGAACTGCTGCAGCTGCTTCTGGTCACCAGGAGACAGGTTGAGCAGCAGGAGCTATTAGAGTAGCATCAGATGTGGGATCTCTAGTATTCACTTTGCACAGGTGTCTCACACTGTGTTTGGCTAACAGTGCCACAGAAAGGGCCCTAGAACTCTGCATTTGGGATGCCATTCTGAGTTTATGCAAGGCACACTAGAAGCTTGGAGCAACATGAGAGCCCCATATTTTCATATTGCCTCCAGCATGGCAACTAGGGTTTCCAAGTCAAAATATCTCCTTACCGGGTGACTCCCACGCCGCAGCTGAAAACCATAGAGTTTTCCCTTGGATGACCATGGCCCTGCCCCCAGCGTGCCCGGCGTGGTTGCGTCACTTCCGGGTGACGCACACGTCGGGGTGGGGTTCCCCCCAGGGCCCGATCCGCCGGCAGCGGGAAACAGGCCTCTGGGGTGGGGGTTTCCCTGCACCCCGGGGGAACTTGGGAAGCCTAATGGCAACTACTCAGCATAAAAACTGGTACCACTGGAGCAGAAGTCCCCAAACTGTGTACCCCCAGAGATCTGCCAGTGTATTGTTAGAAATACATCTCTCCCTTATTATAATTGAGTAGTGGGCACCAAAATTCTAAAATGCCCGCCTTTAGTGTTTGGCCGGAAGAACTGCCACTCAGAAGACACTGGCTGGGTTGACTGGCTGCTTTGTGCAGTCCCGCCCAGCGTTCCAAGGTCATTTGCATATGGAAGCTGATTGGACTTCACTCCATTCCACACCTCAAACCCCCCCCTCCCCCGCAAGGCAGTTGGGATTTTCAGTTGCATAACATACCACATAGGGGAGAGGAGAATGATGTCCGCTGCCCTTTCCCTAGGCAGAGGCTATGGAAGCTGATTGGACTTCACTCCATTCCACACCTCATACTCCCCCCCGCAAGGCAGTTGGAATGTCTGGTGGTGTGTAGGTCCCAGGATCATGTTTTAAAAGCTGCCTGGGGAGATGGGGACCTCAGACAGGTTACAGTGCCATAGACTCCACCCTCCAACCCAGCTATTTGCTCCTGGGGAACTATTGTTGCCAATCTTGGCCCAGCAGCCATCAAACCATTCTCTTCAACCCCCTGCTGTGCAGCTGACTTTCCCCTAGGGTTGCCAATCTCCAGGTGGGACCTGGAGATCTCCCACTGTTACAATTGATCTCCAGATGACAGAGATCAGTTCCCCTGGAGAAAATGGATGCTTTGGAGGGTAGACCCTATGACATTATACCTGCTGAGTCCTTCCGCCCCCCTGCCCAATGCTGCCCTCTACAGAATCCACCCCCCAAACCTCCAGGTATTTCCCTCCTTAGAGCTGGCAACCCTACATTCCCCTCAGTGCCTGTTGGTAGGCAACTAAGCTTGGTCCTGTCACCTACTTTGGCCTTTGGGAGAAAACACATTGGGGCCAGTCCTGATAGGGTTGCCAACTCCAGATGGGAAATTCCTGGAGATTTGAGGGATGGAGCCTGAAGAGGGTGAGGTTTGAGGAGGGGTGGGACCTCAGACAGGTACACTGCCATAGACTCCACCCTCCAAACCAGTCAGTCCCACATAGGGAACCATTGTTGCCAATCTCCAGGTGAGGGCTGGAGAGCACTCAGAATTGCAACTGCTCTGCAGAAGGGAGGGCAGAAGTCAGCTGAAGTCAAAGGGGCAGATAATGGTAGGTTGATGGTTAGCTGGGAAGGAGATGGGGTCGCCAACTACATGCTGACAAATTCCTGGGGATTTGAGGGGTGGAGCCTGGAGAGGGTGGGGTTTGCAGAGGGGTGGGACCTCAGACAGGTAGAATGCCATAGACTACACCCTCCAAACCAGCCATTTTGTCCTGGGTAACAATTGCTGCCAATCTCCAGGTGAGGGCTACAGATCACTCACAATTACAACTGCTCTTCAGGTAGCAGAGATCAGTTCCTCTGGAGAAAACAGTGGACTCTGTCATTATACCCTGCTGAGGTCACCACAGCAAATTAACACTGTTTGCCCAAAGCCAGAGCACTGCCCCAGAGCCTCTTTCTAGATCTCGTTGTATTGCTTTCACAACGGGCTTTACTGCCTGTTATTCAATAATCAAAGGTTTTTGTAGACCAAAAATACCCAGTGACACAGGAGGCTGGCCAATGAGTGTCTGCATGAGTCACTGTTCTGGCTTTGCCTCCCCAGCTTTTAGCAGCAGACAGCAGTATAGGCTGTCTGCAGAGCACTGCAAGAGCATGCACTGTTTGAACTGGGAATCTGGCTTGGAAGGCCATCAAACACTCATTTTATAGGCCACAGTCTGGCCCTAGGATGTCACACTGGCTTGACTGCACTGATTCCTCTTCATGGCACACCAAAACTCTGCTCATTACAGTGCTATACTGTAATGTAAAGGTTTCTGTGCAACACAGCTGCTCTGAAGCCGGGGGGGGGGGAATCTAATTGGTATTTGTTATACGCAAATACATGCTCAAATTACAAGCAGTCTTGAAGTATTGTACTTTTGAGTG